ATCCCTTTACCCACCTTCGCAGGGAAAATTGGGGACTTCATGAATTTCTGGACCCTGTATGAGGCGAACGTGCATTCTCAACCCTTTAGTAAGTTAATTAAATTCAACTATTTGGTTAACTCTCTACGGGGAAGCGCACGCGAGCTAGTGAAGCGATTCCCAATAACCGAAGCGAATTACGATCACGCAATCCAACTTTTGAGGGACAAATACGGGGATCAATGCACGCTCATAAACGACTTACAGTCCCGGCTAGAAGCGGTAAAAGCAGAGAACATGACAATTCCTGCCCAACGCCGTCTTCTTGAACAGATACTTCCAATTGTGGTCCAACTGGAGGATCTGAATGTTTCCTTGAATGGTTCTTTTCTCACACGAAAACTCTTGGCAAAGTTTTCGCCCAATCTCCAGCGCAAAGTCTTAAATATCCATCTCCCTCTGAACAAAGTCGACACGGATTGGGTCATGGACAGTATTCTGACCACTCTCGATAACCTCATTACCATGGAGGAACAAATCCACGGTATGGTTGATCAAGGTTCTTACAGTAACCTCGATCGTGGCAAGGGAAATTCCTACAGTAAGCTCGGTCGCAGAAAAGAATTTTACAACACAGGCTTAGCGAGAAGCGCGTCTTTCAAGATAAATGCAGCAGATAAAACATCACCAGCCTGCATGTTTTGTGAATCGACGCTACATAAGTCGGCTGATTGTACAAAAGTCGCAAGCATAACTTCACGGCGTTCTGTGATGCAAAAGCGAAACAGATGCCTGAACTGCGGAAAAGAGGGACACTGGGTAAAAGACTGTACGAGCGATGGGTGTAGAAACTGTCAAGGGTCAAAACATCACCACTCTTTGTGCCCAAAAAGACGAGTTAGCACAACCCACCAGAACGCGCCAGAACCGCGAGTAGGAGCTACACCGAACCAGACCAAAACAAGCCGTATTACACCAACTACGGGAAGAAATGCAAGGGTTCAGGGAACCAGAAATACAGTCAACGCACACCCGATTCGGGCCTTAGAAAACGATCGTTCACAGACCCTGAACGACACCGTACCGGAGACACCACAGGGGACAATAGTCCAAAGCAAATGTCACGAGTCAAATAGTAGCAGGGTGTTACTATTGACAGGAATCGCAAAGTGCGCGACGAAATCCGTAACACTTGGAGAGAGGTAGAGATCCTCTTCGACACAGGTGCCGATCAGTCCTTCATTACTCGTGCCCTTGTGAACGATCATTAGGACAACCTGTACTCGAAACCAGGGGTTTTTGATGTACACGTTCGGCAAAGAGAAACCCACATCCGTTGAATGTGGGGTCACAACACTAGATATTTGGGATCACGAAGGAGCGAGACATGAGGTGCGTCTACTCACCACCTCAGTGTTAACTGGTAAAGGGCAAACAACCCAGTTAACTCAAGAAGACCTTGAGTTTGTGTCACGCCACAACATTAGGCTATCAAAGCCAAAACAGAAGGTTGCTTCTAAGCCCCAAATATTACTCGGGTGTGATCAGTTATGGAGCTTGTTGGAAGCTCCACTTCCACGGTACAGGTTACCATCTGGCCTACAGCTTATCCCCTCGAAGTTAGGGTACTTGTTGACTGGTAAACAACAGGCCCTCCAGGAAAATTCTCAAGGGAACGAGATTAATACTAACGTTATCTCTATGATGACTATGGACGCGGACCTGGAAGATGACATAAGCAGGTGGGATCGGTACTGGACGATGGACTCCGCTGGGGTGTGCGAGTTCACGGGAACCAAAAATGCTGAGAAGGCAGCAATCAATGCCCAGGTGGAAACATTTTTCGAGAACACCATCGAACGACGCCAGGATGGCTATTACGTTCGTTTCCCGTACAAAGATAACCACCCACCGTTACCGGATAATAGGCTTATTGCCCACAAGCGTTTACAAGGAGTGCTGAATATGTTGAAAACTAAGCCAGCTCTCCTTAGTGACTATGATACCACGTTCCGCTCTCAATTAGAAAAGGGCATAATTGAAGAGATACCGAACGATGAACCAGGCCAGGGGCCGGTTACACATTACATCCCACATCAACCGGTCATCACTCCGCATAAGGAAACGACAAAGCTGAGGATCGTATTCGATGCCTCATCTCACTACAAGAACTGTCCGTCTCTGAATGATATCTTACACCAAGGGCCAATAGTCCTTCCAAATCTCTACGCTATGCTGATACGATTTCGGCTACAACCGTATACAGCAACATCAGACGTAGAGAAAGCATTTCTGCAGGTACATCTCCATGAAATGGATAGAGACGCTACAAGAGTTCTGTGGGTACGAAACGTTGACGAGCCAATCACAAATGACAACCTCGTTACATACCGTTTCACGCGAGTTACGTTTGGCCTTAACGTCTCCCCATTTCTATTAGCTGGGACTATACACCATCACCTCACCAATGCGGTAGAGAATAAGAATCTCGCACAGGAAATACGCGAGAACCTATATGTAGACAACCTTATACTATCCGCTGAGACACAAGAAGGTCTAGCTAAGAAGGTTATCGCCGCACGTCAAATCTTTGCGGACATGAACATGAACTTACGCGAATTTCTCGCCAATCAGATGGACCTCAAGGAACTACTCCCAGAGGATGCAGTGCGCAAAAGCTGACCAGCAAAAAGTGCTTGGTATACAGTGGAATGCGACTGATGATAGTCTACAGATCGCTTGTAACCTAGAACTAACAGACAAGGTTTCAAAGCGAATCGTAGCTCGACAAATTGCCTCCGTTTACGACCCATTAGGATGGCTTGTACCATTACTTACTCGTGCTAAACACTTCCAGCAAACATTGTGGAAGCTCAACCTTGACTGGGACACACCACTACCCAAAGACTCTGAAGAGTCATGGAGTAAGATTGTCCAAGAGGCCAAGGGGTTTAATCGAACCATACCCAGAAGATTCCTGCACACCAATGCGCCCGTGTAGCTTACGTATTCGCAGATGCCAGCGAGATCGCATGGCTACATGTGCCTACGCCTTGCAGAAAACCAATCTACCCTGGTCATGGCCAAATGCAAACTGCCATCTATCAGACGAAATACACAATGCCAAAACTGGAGATTAACGCACTCACTATGGCAACTCGGATTGAGCTGGTCAGTATATGAAGCCATGAGAACAGGTAGGGACGTGCCACAACGAGTACACGAAGTTTTTCATATTCTCGGATTCGCAAATCGCCTGTGGCTGGCTAACACAGCCTCAACAAAATCCAATCCGGTGTTCTCGTGACCAATAGACTAGCAGAAATCCGTCGCATTTGTGATGCGTTTGAAAGAAGAGGGGGTCGCGGGGGTTCGCCTTATGTGAACACAAAGAAAACCCTGCTGATGCAGGAACTCGAGGGCTGACGAGTGATCAGCTGCAAGAACACCATTGGTGGCTAGGTCCAAAATTTTTACGCGATCTATCGCTGAGTGGCCTACTACTTTTATGGATGGTCAGAGATGATTCGAACAAAGGGACCAGAATGTAAGCATAAATGCAGTAAAAGCATCAGAGGAAGCCAGGGAAGACTCCTGGGTGAACCTACAGCGGTTTCAGCTCGCTAACAAGGGCTAAACGTGTCACAGCAAGAGCACTGATCTTCATAAAAAAGCTCTTGCGCCCACTAGACAGTGATATCCGAAAAAGGATAACGGAAGTATTCCTGAATTGCGTTTCATATCAGACAGCTCGGGTACACTGCAAGCCACGATTACGAGCTGCATGTATATCGATAGTACGCCATCATCAAATGGCATACGTAGGGAACGCTTATCGGAAATCCATGGAAAATTCATTACGCCTCTTTATGAGACTCAGATGGCCTTTGGCTTTAAAAGACGCCTTGGAAACTCGAACCTCGATGAATCAGCCAAATCTCCAATTCTGGTAGCTCCCAATACGGACTGGCGGACTGATTATCGAGGAAGCTCACGGACCCTACCATCAGGGAATAGAACATACGATTTCCACCGGTTCGACAAAAGTATTGGATACCAAAAATACGACAGTCAGTTCGGAAATTGATTTGCCAAATGTGTCAAATGCAGGCGATTCAACAGCTCGCCCTATTCCATACCGGACTCAATTGACTTGCCCAAAGACGAGTGCTTCGAAGTCGCCCATTTAACACGTCGGACTAGACTTCTTCGACCTTCCTACTGATACAACATCAAGTACGCGGTGGTACGGCTGCATTTTTACGTGCACCGTCACACGTCTCTTACATTTGGAAATGGTGCAGAGCATGAATACAGTAGATTTCATAAATGCTTTAAGACGTTTTGTAGCAAGAAGGGGTGTTCCAGAGTCGATCACATGCGATAATGCACCTACATTTTTACTCACTTCCACGATCTTGTCGAACAATGCGCGCACAGACGAAATCAAGGCCGACGTGCAGGACGCGCTAGCCAACAAGGAAATTCAGTGGCGGCATATTACGCCATACGCACCCTGGCAGGGTGGGGTTTATGAGCGCCTCATCAAGTCCGTAAAGCACGCATTGAACAAAGCGTTACGAGGTGCGGCGCAACGCTCTGGAAAACACTTACGTACCATCCTAACGGAAGTGGAAGCGTGCCTCAATTCGAGGCCATTGACTTACCAAAGCTCTGCTCAAGAAGATCTAACATCAGTCAGACCTATAGACTTCCTACAGAAGGATCTTAGTCTGACTCTACCACTTGGTGACGACAACCGATACTCCGAAAATGACGAAGAATATTTGCCACCGGAACAGCTTCGTGCTCTTCAAACTAGGAAAGAAGTACTCGATGCGCTAAAATCATCCTGTGATTCCACAGAGAAATTTTGGAAAATTTGGCAGGAACAATACCTGTCAAGTCTCAGGGAGAAACATAAAAAGTCGTTAACGAATCAACGGCACGCCAGTATTCTGCCAACAGTCGGGGATGTGGTATTAGTTTGCGACCCTGTACTTCCTCGCAATGACTGGCGAATGGCCCGCATCACGAATACAAAGCTAGGCTCTGATGGCGCTGTACGCGAAGTGGAACTTATAACTTCTACGCGCCGTAAAATTCGTCGCCCAGTAAACCTAGTGGTACCACTTGAAGTAACATCCAACGAGGACATTTCTAGTAATGCACATCCCAGAGCAACTGCTGAAGCATCGCGTCAGGAACTTCGTGAAACAGCAGCGGATTCTATAGAGCCTAGATATAACTTGCGTCCTCGTCGCACCATCAACACGGCCAGACATGAAAAGAATACGGTCTCGGTTCCTAGACCAAATAGGTATTCTTCAAAGTGGTTCCTTTTTTACATTATGCTGCTTAGTGTGATGTCACCTGCACGTACAGCTACACAGGCCAACACGCAGATGACATGTACCCCCTCGGGAGTACTCATTCACACTACAGAAAATCAGACGATAGAAGTGTGCGCGGATACCTTATGCACACTTCACAAGATCGACTCGACTCCATTGCTAGTGAAGTTACCACCACAAGTCACTTTACATGACCATGTAGTGACTTTAAAATGGGAAACTGGTGGACAGCTCGCGGTAATGGAAACAACTTGTAGCAGGAAGAACTTCTGTGAACAACTGGACTGCTGGATGTGTGCAGCAGCCCTATTTAACCCAGAGTGTCACCCCATAGCAGCCATAACCTTCATCGCGGCTATGCTGTACGGCTCAGTTGCCTTTTGCTATGTGCTGCTATATGTTCCAATGACGATAGGAAAACCCCTTAGGATCATCGGCTCCATAGCAGGACTGCTCATGTTAAAGATTATTCGCATGATCCGGCATATCGTTTACCTTCTTATGCGTGCTCTAGCACGTTTCATTCGAAGAAATCATACGAGATCCCGGAGAGAACGCCTGATGGCAGCTTTAGCAATACTCATGATGTTGGCAGTAAGTCAGGGACACACATGCCAACATGTGAATGTTCTTGAACATCACCTAACGACGTGTTCAAATAATGGCACTCACGAGATATGCAAGGTAAAGCTCAACGAGCTCTTGAAGATCAATACCTATCATCGTGAAGCTTGCCTACGGCTCACCAAAAATACGACGCTAATAGCGAATGTGAAGCTACACTGGAAAGGACTCTACCTGAAGTGCGAACGGAACACTAGGTATTTCACCAGAGCAACTAGGCTGAAACAAATTAGCAGCAAGAGATGTCCGTTAATGGGTTTATGTGAAGACACTAAATGTGAAGGAATAAATGCGTCCACTCTGATCGAGGACCTAAAAGAAGGAAACACCTTTCCAGGTCGAACTGGATGCATGGAGTCATGCGGGGGTCTAGGATGCGGTTGCGTCCTCCCCAGTGCAGGTTGCCTATTCTATAGGATTTATGCAGTGCCTCAAAACGAAAAAACGTATGAAATATTCGAATGTCTGAGATGGACCGAGGAAATAAAACTCAATGTGACCATTGAGAATGCAGGATTTACGAAAGGAATACGTAGCTATGTAGTAGCTCTAATTCCGAATGTCCCAACAGATCTGCCAATGCTGACTGTTACTATGACCGGCGTTTCTATACCTCCAACGCCATCAATTGCTAATGAGTTCATCACAGACGGTAAAGACATCGCCTTGTGGAAGAAACAGATCAGACCGAATCTTCTCTGCTCAACACCAGAGCATGCTCGAAGACTGAACTGTTCCTTCTATGACGACTGCACATGTAACGCCGCTCAAAACAGCGCGAAATGTGTATGTTCAGAGTACGATGTGGAAGAAGAGTTCCAGAAAATCCGTAATAAACTCCCAATCAGAACAGCAGCTTGGGAAATGTTGAAACGTCTCGACAACTCAGTAACAGCAAGAGTCACTGACATGGTGTCAGCAGACTTCATGGTGGAATTCAACCACACGATCGAAGCCTCCACCCAAGTCGTAACTACGGGGATATGTGAAGTGTCGAACAGTGAGTTAGAAGGTTGCTACCACTGCTCGAAAGGAGCACAAGCAAAGATCATGTGCCACTCAACTGTAGACACCCATGGAGAAATCCTATGCGACCAGCGGTCATTCGTGGTTCCTTGTGGTCCTACACCCAGAGAATCTATGCTTATGTTCCACCTCGATTCAGCTCAACAGTTTTTCAACTGTTCAGTTAGATGTGGAGAAGTGACGAAATACTTCACACTCACTGGAATTCTGAAATACACCAACGATTTCCCAATGACCCTGAGGAACATACTGAAAGGGAACAGCACTAACTTTCACGAATTTAAATTGCCCGACTTCGCACACATCGCGGAAGTTATATTAAGTTGGTACAAGACATTGTTATGTAGCCTTCTAGCAGTACTAATAGCACTAGTCCTCTCCTACCTTTTCCTCCAAAGCGTAGGACTACGCCTAGTTTGCTTTCTTTTACACAGCGCCCTCAAGCTCATATGTCTTCCCTTTCGGCTTGCAATGTTTCTGGGCACTGCAATACGGAAATTCCATGTGCGGCAAAGGCTCCACGAAAAACATCTTTGAGGGGTTCAGTACTGTCATAGTAGAACATAGGTTTCATTACATACATTTTTCTACTATTTCTTTCCTACCTTTTTTAGAACATTCATTTTTTATTTACCCTCAATTGCAGCCTGGATCGCATACACTGATGTCTACACTGACACCTGCTCCAAGATCGCAATTACTTCTGAATCTGCGCATGCAGAAAATCAGAAATCAAGAGTTACGAAAACAAAACAAGCAACTGATCGATGCGATTGGCCAACTTCCACCACCAAGAGAGTTTTTTGAGAATCTGGTTCAAACGATCAGGAATATAAATGACAGTTCCAGAGCAGTACTCCAGCTGGACACCAACATTGACGTCCTAAAAGCTACCGACGACCATCCCTACATTGTCTCCTTACATTTGGAAACGTTGGAAGAGCAGATAGAGAAAATCACGCTACAGTTCCAGTTGGCTCGGACACAGCTTGTCGTACTCCAGAAGCAATATGCTGGCCTCATGGCCACAGGACGGCTAACATCGGAGATGTGGGGTTCGTTTCTCAACGAAACGCACCTAGACAGTGAGAACCAGCCACTCAACCTCGACCCACAGGAACAAGAACAGCTCATAACGACTAACCTGGAATTTCTGGGCAACTACAGCATCCAAATCGCTGGTATGAGACGATCTATGACAGACTCTAACCGTCTCCAATACTATGACGATTTGCTCAGGAAGCACGAGGCTGTAGCGGCAGAAGAACAATCGTTCGAAGAAGAAGTTCTGTCGAAACTCGAAGCAATCTACAACATCCTGAAACCAGACAGACCGAAAACACAGGACTTGCCCGGTACTCCAGCAACAGTGGAATTCAGTGAAGGGCCGGAGGGTGCGAGTGCACTATTCCAAACGAAGGACTTGGAGGAAAACACTCGCGAAACCGAGGAGATGACGATTCAGAGGAATGCTGGGTTCTTGGAGCCTCTAGACTTTGATGAGGAGCAGCCCGAAGATCAGCCTATGGACGTCACTGGCGAGCAGCCAGCTGCAGAACAACCTCATCTTCTGGAAGACGAAGAAATAGCAGATGAAGGGCTCGTAGTCCTGGATGAAGTGGAAGGTGACAACGAGGATCAGGAAATCATCGTAGTCATCGAGAATCCACCTCAGCGACGTGATTTGGAAGCTCCTCGACGTGCTGTTCACCGACATGCAGAAGCTCTACGTGGCCGTGAAGCTGGCGCATCTCAAGAAAGACAACAAGAAGGTGGATTCCATCCACACCACGGAATCCTAAGAGACCCGAACGTGGAAGAGTTAGCCAATGTAGAGCAACAACTCCTGGAAACTCGTGACTTGAAGTACCAAGCGGAGCAGGAAGTGAACCAGTTACGAGAGAGACGCTCACACGCAAGGCGAAGGTTCTTACCCGCACGTCCTGACAAACGGACGCAACCTTGCGCATTTTGTCTTGCTACTGGTGACCATTATTCCGACGCATGTCCACGATTCCCAGGGGCCAGTACTAGAGAGAGACTTGCTCGAGGTGACGATCGATGTACCATGTGCCTACTCCCATCAAACCTGCATGCCCAGTGTAAACGAAAAGAGGAACCTTGCCGATATTGTGGCTCCACCAGCCACCACCCGGCATTGTGTGCTGAACCGGAGCGTTCAGAGCAAATGACTAGGAGGATCGCGGAAATTTCCGAGAGAATTAGAGAGTACGATCTCCGCATCGAGCTGCTCACGACAAGAAGGAACCAGCTATTGGAGCGACATTGATTCAACTCGCCCTACCGTTCTAAGCCATCTTTTGTACTCTGCTCCAATCAATAACCTGTAAGCTGTAGATTTATGCCCACTGCTGGCCCGAGTGCCAGCTTACACTGATGCTCGACCGTTCTCGTGAGCTGTAAGATATATGCTCACTGCTGGCCCGAGTGCCAGCTTACACTGATGCTCGACCGTTCTCGTGAGCTGTAAGATATATGCTCACGGCTGGCCCGAGTGCCAGCTCACACTGATGCTCGACCGTATCGTGTGCTGTAAGATATATGCACACTGCTGGCCCGAGTGCCAGCTCACACTGATGCTCGACTGTTTGTGTGTTGTAAGATATATGCACACTGCTGGCCCGAGTGCCAGCACACACTGATGCTCGAACCATTCTCGTGTGCTGTAAGTTATATGCACACAGCTGGCCCGAGTGCCAGTCTAGTGGACGTTCGCTCCTTTGAGTGGGGCTGTCATATGGTTATGGCCATACGCATTAACGATTTTCGGAAAGTGTTCACACCTTACGAAGATTAATCAGGGACGGAACCAGGTGCTCGTGGCGAAAGGACAACAGATAAGCGAACATCAGTCCTATGATGCAATCTTTCCTCTGATTACTGATTTTTTCCTTTTTTCTTTCCTGTTGGTAGATTGACCTTCGGGCGGGGGGAGTATCGCGACGATACGCGATTCTTTATTTTACATAGTTCATTTGTCAATATATTGTAGTTCATTTATTCTGTATGGTATTCATAATCCTTGTTCTATCTCACTCTCATCTATTGCATTCTTCTCATGTCGTGCTTTGCTTGAGCTTTTAATACAGTTTGTAGGCGTCGTCGAGCACCTCATGCAGCGGCATACTATCTTACCATACACATGCTCCCGCCTCGTGAGAGGCTCGACGGCGTCAGTTCTGTTTTCTGGCTCGGTTTGCCTTGGTCTGAACGGTCATCTGGGTGACCGTCGGTGTGAGTCACTACTGGATCTGAGATTTGACCTCTCTGTTGGTGCTAATTCAGTATATATCTGGTGTGCTACATTTCGGCTATTGTACGAAGGTAGTCGAGAGGTATATAAATTTCGTGAGTCTAACTTTTGGAGTTTTTCTCTTCGAACACGGTACTCTCCTCAATACCTTTACGCGTGGCAGGTTACTCGACAGCATCTATTGTGTCGCGGTGTTTATCCTTTATTCTATTGACGACACAAGGAAAAACTGAACCACCCCATTCGGCCATTGTAGAAGACATTGGGCCACTTTAAACATGTTTGAGCTATTTAAGCTTCCAAATAGTCGAATTATACTGCTGGATTTCGAGGTGGGGGTGTTCACTGTCATAAGATGAACTAGTTTTCTCTGAGCAGTGCTTTACCAACCTTGGCGTGTGGTTTATTTTGGTAAAATACAACTGCCTACCTCTTTCCCCACTTTCTTTGCCGCTATACTTTTTCTTTCAATCCGAGATAGGAACTCAGCAATTGGATGAGGCCTTATGCAGTTTTAAGGTAGATTAGGAGAGTTACTCCTTCTTATCTTATGAAACCGATCCGCCTCAACGACCTCTTTTTGCTCATTCACAAATGTTCTGGAGTACCTTTAAAATTTGCAATTCTTCCTTGCAAATCGATTATCCACGGTGTTTGCGGTTTACTTGAACCTACGATTCCTTCTTTCGTTGACTCTTCTAGTATTCATTTTATTCCCTGGACTCTTTTTTTTTCTACTTTACCTTAAGGCAGATCACGATTATGAGGGGGTGGTGCGGTTTTGATGACCTCAATGAACTTCATTGGTGGACTTGACCATTAACCGCGGTGAGCATGTGATCGGGACCGCCTCTTACCCATGAAATGCTTTGAACTTCCCACGGAACATTGGAAGTAGCACTAGATGTGTCGTTTGAGTCTGAAGGCGAATTACAAATATGGACACTAAAACTGCTACGTGGACTTCCTGGGAAACTTATGAGCCTCAAAATTTTCATAAAGGTTACTGACAATGGGGCATGCTTACCTGGTGGAATCAAAGTCGCTGTGGCTCTGCGTCAAAAACGAGTGTCATATTGATAATCAGGGCACCCATTAGCCCTTATGAAACAATTACCAGGCAAAAAGCAACTGTTTCTACGCAAGTTGTACCTCATCAGTAGCGTTCTTTTGCACATTTCAAGGCTTAACATTTTTTAAAACTTTTTTTAAACTTTCTTAGAACGTTCACGTAGCAGTTTTAGGGTTCATAATTTTTATCAGCATACAAGACTATGTACCTAGGTCTCCTTCCAAATTTCCATGGGAGCTTCAAAATATTCCCTGGTTGATGCCCTTCCACCCACGACGTTCAATGAAACCTTCTTCAAAACCGCATCACTCTTCTGCCATATGGGTCGCTGCCATTATAGTTGGAGTTTACGATGAAGAGATGTCTCACTATAAATCAAGGTAGATGTGATGAATGATGTAGGGATGCAGAAAAAAAATAAGAGAAACAACCTAGAACCTGAGGAAAGAGATCCCCTTTCACCCTTTGACTTGCGCGTTAAGCATATAGCGTCCTGACCTCATCAGCGGCGACGCTGTCTCGACTAGAGCCAGACGGCGAGAGGGTGGGTGGGCAGCAGCGGCGGTGGCGACAGCGGCGAGGGAACGTCTATGCTTTACGCTGGGGCAAATCTTTTGCTGAGAATTGCAAGTCGGTGCGCTCCCATAAGAGGCCCGCCTCTCTATCAATTAGGTAAGTTCCCCTTATCCGACCTCCGACCTATTCGCGGAATTCTCTGAATCAGATTGCACAATCGTAATCACCAATCAACTTGAGCTCCAAGGTCACCTCCATATTCTTCTGCTCATTTGCTTTTGCTCCTCCCTTTTCTTCCACTATAACTGAAGACTCGCATACACTCCTTTTCATAAATATAGGTAAAAAGGATAAAGAATAGAGCATTTGCCGTTGATTTTTCTGAGATGCGGCGCGCATTCTTCTTCCATTTGTACATTAGCAGTGACGTTTGAATGCGATCTGCCCTACACAATGACTTGCGGGGGCCATTCGATGTAAGTCAGTGTTGATATCCTCTCAGCAAGTCTGGTACCAATCAACTGACCACGGAGAGATGGAAGGCTTGGTTGGCCCGGGCGACTCACAACCCAGGATTTGATCCCTGGACCGCTCGCCTAGTAAGGGTGCCACTTGCCACTACACCCTTTCCGCCCATAAATATAGGTATGCCCCACATTTTTGATATTCCGAAATTGCTGTGCATTTTTTGAAAATACGGTGACTACTGTGAAATGCCCCATGCTGTGCATTTTTTTAAAATTGACGGGCGACTATCTTACCAGGAAAACATTCAACTTCCATGGGACTTTGCGGTGAGCCAG